GGTCGAAATGATGCTTTTAATGGATGAGCCACCCCTCACCCAAACTTTCGAAATATACGAGAAAGTGGTTGCTAAATCACTAAATGGTTTCGCCGTTGGCGCTAACAGAGTTTCTGAAATTACTCCACGAGTTGGAGAGGGAACTTCACTTGATGGTTGGTCCGAGGAAAAGAGGGCTTGCAAAAGGAATCTGGAGTTGTAGGTTTCGCACAAGGACGCTGGATGAGGTCCTTTTTGTTGTATTTTATTTTAGTTTTTTTTTTTTGGTTATGTTTACTCCCATTGCATAATGCATGGGTTAGTATGTAAATTTTTTTTGTTTTCTATCTATGATTATGAAATAGCCATTAGCTACTTCTAGTGTTAGGTGTGTTTGCTAAATTTACTCATAAAATTTAACATAGATCCATGTTTTCGAAAGTAAACAATGACGAACTAATATACCATTAAAAAACAAAGTTACAAAAACGGATAAAAAGACATAATTAAATCATAAGCATTGTTAGCCACCATAAAACTATGTAATTTCTTCATCAGCACTACAACCCTTTCTACAATTTCACCAAGCAAACTATTATCAAAGGATGAATAATCTACGTCATTATACCACCGCCTCGACTACCTCTACCAACCCTTCGACCTACACCCCGTCTCCCACTACCCCTCCGACCTTGACTAGTCTCACCCACTTGATCTGCATGAAAATATGTTCTATTCCACCTTCCACCACCTCTCCTACATCTATTAGTCGGAGGCCTTCCACGTGTTCGGATTTCCCTTGGGTTCCTAATGAATGTTACATCTTCTTCCGAGTCTGGATCACCAACGCTAGGGACTGTCATTTCGTCATTCCAATTACAATATGCATTGAAACGTCCTTTCAAAACATTTTTGAAATCTGCATATTTAGCGTTGTTGTCCAACACAGCATCACAATTCCTATCAAACCATTTCTTCAAGGAATTGTACTTCTTGTACTCGTCCGTTATAGATGGATAGCCTCCTTGAAAGAATTTACCTATGTGTGGTCGTATTACGTCCCTTCTCCACCGGCGTAAAATATATCTGTCATGGAACATTTTAATTCTACAATGAGACAGTCTTTAAAATGTGGCAGCAGACAACACCTTCACTTTGAAAATTCTTGCAATTGCAATCCAGATATTGATTCTGTGGCCGATATTCCACAATGTAAACAAATCGATTTCCATGAAAATCATTAGATATGGAATAATCTGTTACACTGTACTTCTCAACTCCCTCCACGACATTGAAGTCACGGTGTCTTTCAATTTCACAATGGTACAACCGCTTCAAATGCTCTGCTGCAAAGGCATCGTATATAGGTCGAGTATAATGGGTTTGAAGCTGCAAATCCCAATCAAAACCACTACAAGGCGCTGCATGCTTTTTTCGTGAGTCAGCTTCTGCTTGAAGTTCCTTCTCATATTTAAATCGCAAGGCTAATTCATACTGCTCGACGAACTGCTTTAGAGAGCTTCGACCGGATATATAACCATAAAAAAATGCATGCATTGACTCACTTCTTTGGGTGGACATCATGCCAACCCAAAAATAATGCTTCAGGAAGACAGGGATCCATTTTTCCTTCTCCAAGTATAGATTATGAAACCATAGTCTATGCTGAAGCTCGTATTTTTTAATAAAGCCAGCCCATTTTTCCTCAAATTCGTTGATAGTAATGCTGTTATATATTATTGATTTAAATTCGGACTTGGCAGTCTTAAAGTCCCACATACCCTTAAGCTTTGCAGGCAGCTTTATCATAATATGTCAAATACAGTACCTATGGATGGTGTCTGGAAGTACCTCTGCAATTTCTGCCTTGATACTCTCACATTGATCAGTGAGGATAGCCGTTGGAGGTGCATTACTCATTGCTGCCAGCCAAGTAGAGAAAACAAATTTATATGTTTCAATATCCTCACTTGTGAGCAAAGCGCAACCCAAAAGAATAGATTGTTTGTGTTGATTCACACCAACAAAAGATGCAAACGGCATGCGCCATTGATTCACCAAGTACGTTGAATCGAAACAAACAACATCACTAAACTCCCGATACGCATACTTGCAATGTGTGTGAACCCACACTACGTTGCGAAGTCTACCAACATTATCCGTGTCAATTACATAAAAAAATTCATCGTCCTTCATCTGCATTAAAGCGAAAAATTTCTGTATTGTCGCAGCATCGCATGACAATGTCCTCATCCTGCGTTGTTGAAGAATGTAGTTTCGACAATCTTTAGGTGTGCATCCCATTTTATCTAGACCACCTGCTTGTACTTCCAAAAGTCTAATGCTTTTGGCAGGTCTAATTCCTGCGATGTCATAAGCTTCAAGTTTTCGTTTTAATGCCTTACTTATTTTCCTGTGGCAACCAAAAAAACGTGTTAAAGATGGTTGCAACTCATGATTGTGCTCCGTCGTAACTATTGTTACGCAACATGAACCATCAGGCAGCACAACACAATTAACTTTGCATTTGCAATCAACCCTTTTACTATAATTCTTAGCAGTTGGTTTTCTACTTTTATCACAAGCGAATGAGACATACCTAGCGTATTCACAACCTCTCTTTTTTGAAGTCTTTTTAAGAACTCCAAATCCATTTAAACGACTATATTCTTTATAAAAAGCAAAAAGAGATTCTACACTACAATAGACCATATCTACAAGAAGGCCTTCCATATATTATTGGTCTGAAAAATTATCATCATTGGCTGAATCTGTCTGTTCTTCACCTTCTTTTTCAGCTTCATATTCCTCTCCGTCACTAACACTTATTGATTCCTCTTGCTCCGGTTGATTCATTTCTTCAAAGAGCTTGTTAATAACATCTTCATCATCACTATGCAAATAATGTTCTGGCCCATCGTATGCATCATCAGAATCTTCATAATGTTCATCATTTTGGGACAACAAACTATCATCCTCATCTAACCCCAAAACATTATTCAATAAATCGTTTAATTGGTTATTCTGACTAATCGATTCCATTTTGTTAAAATTATATAAAACCAACAACAAAATAAATTCTTGATCAACAAATTAAAATAAGAAAGGATGAGAGTGAAGGGTGATAGATGTAGGAGAGGTGGTGGAAGGTGATATAAAGAGTAAAGTAAGAGAGAGAGAGTAAATAATTATTAAAATGTCAAAGGTGATTTTCATTTTTGGAGGGAAATATAAGAGGTTTTGGAGCAAAAGGGACATTTTTGTCATTTACCTGTGTCTTGTCAATTCATGCCAAAATTTTGACTGACCATCGGCTCCACTTATATTGTGCCACGTGGAAAGTGTTGGGTCCCATTTCAGAAAATGATTTTCTCTCTCTTCTTAAACGTTTTTTTCCTCTTTCCTACTTTTTTTTTACTTCTTTTTCTTTGACTTTTCTTTTCAAATTAATGTTTCAAATTTCTCTACTTCCATACTTGTATAATTTTATTCATGGAAAATATAAAAATATGAAATCCAAAAAGAAAATATTCATTCAATTTCTAATATTTTAAAATTAATTATTTATATTACTAAAAATAGTTAGATAAAATTATTTGTTAATTTACAAAATATAATTAATTACAATTTTTTTTATTATAACATTTTTTTTCTTTTTGTAAGTGTTTAAAATTTATAAATTTTAAATTACATAAGTTTTTATACTAATTTCATGAAATTAAAAAAACGGAAAGCATCCATAAATACCTATATAAATGGATATTCTTTCCGTCAATTTATACGATTTTTATTCTTGAAATTCCAGCTAGGTGAAATTTTTCATCACTTTAACCTTTTTTATTTTTCTTGCTATTTAATTTTTGTGGACTTCTCAAAAATATACGATACTATAAATTTTTTCTAGGGTACATCTATATAGGATCCTTCAAAAAAAAACAAATTACGCATTATCTAAGAATTTAATCATTTTAAAGAAATATGATAAATTATTTCCAATGATTTTATTATTTAATGACGATATATCAAGATGTCTTGTTAATATTTGATTTAAATAAAAATAATCAATAAAATTACGAGTCATATCAACAAGAAAAAGCACTATCAACAATATCAAAATAAAACTATAAATTAAACTACGAAGTAAATGCAATAAAATTTGATTATTATAAAGAGAAACACATGAATACTAACAAAGAGAACAATTTTTTTTTCAGTTTTGAAGAGGGTTATACGTAAAATCATTACGGACCATTTATTAATAAAATAATAGAATGTAAAAATTTATCCTAAAAAATCAATGTCTATTAGTACTTAAATAATTTTTAATTTTATATTACTTTGGTAAATATGATTGTAAAAGTTTATATTTGAATTGTTTCACAAAAATTGAAGATTTTTCACTATTATAAGTCGAATCATTATGATTAAATAAATGTAATAGATATAGTATTATATGAGTTATGCTCTCTCACAAATACAAGTCAGTTGAATGCGATTATATAAGCATAATCAATAATCGGATAATACAATTAGTTATGGTACATGTCAACAAAATAAAATAATATAAATCTAACAACAAAATAAAATAAAACTAATGAGTGAAGTAAAGAAAAAAAATGAGTAAAGTAAGAGAGAGAGAAAACAAGAAAGAAAAAGTCAAAGAGTGGTTTTCTATTTTGGAGGGAAAACCACAAGTAGTTTTGTCACCTAAGGGCTATTTGGTCATTTCGCCGTGTCTTGCCAATTGATGCCAAAAAAGTGTCTTGCCATTTAGCACTACTCTTGATGTTAAAGGACATATCGAACACTTGATATGTAAAAATCAAAATTTATATTTAGTGTTCGACATTTATATTAAAATTCGACTTTTTCTATTCTAGATTCGAAACTAGACTGTTAGTATATATTATTATTGTTATTATTATTATTTAGCATTTCCATGCCACTAAAAAAAATAAAAATAAAGGTGAAGTAAATTATTTAGGCACCTTTTACAGTTTAAAATCTTGAGTTAAAAAAAAACACAGAAAGGCAAAAGAGGGAAATGACGACGAGGAGCAATTTCTACAAGAACCCTTCTTATGCATACAACAAAGCGTTTAATCTCAATTCTGCAATTCAAAATCTTCAAGGTTTCAATTCTTATTCATCGTTTCGGTTTTGTATTTTCTTCAATTTAATTCGTGTTTTTTCTTCTTTTCCAGCTTATAATGCCGTCACCGGTAACGTTCCTCCTCCGGCTGAGACGAATTCCGTCGAGGAAAAAACGAGCCACAGGAAACGCCGACGGGAACGGAAATCTAAGGTGCAGCAGAACAATGAAGTGGAAGTGATTGATTTGCCTATGTCTCATCAGGATTATATTGAAAAAAGGAGGTGATTTTAGTATTGATTTCAAATTATCAAGTAGATTTTACTATTCACTTCAATAAGCTAGGGTGTACCAGAAAGGAAAAATTCACTTGTGAAATCTGGAGTTGTTAGTTGATCATTTTGTATTTGAAATGCAGGAAGGAGGCTACTTCAACGCAGCCTTATGAAGAATTGACTGCAGAAGTGTTGGTAATTGGAACTGTTTGCTTTAATGTGTTCTGTAATTTTGTTTAATATCACGTAAGCTATAGTTTAGTGATTGTTTGGGTTCTATTTCTGTTCCAGGAACCGTCAAGTTCAGCACTGCATTTGGTGGAGTACGACAGTAAGAGCTTCATTTGGCTTTTTTCTCTTTTTTCTTTTGGGTTAATTCTCGATGAATTAAAAAGGTTTAATTTTAGTTTGGGTATGCAATTGATTATGTGTGTTGATTTGAACTCAAAGTATCCTTGCTTGTTTTAAGAAGTCCATATTTTTTAGTGTTCCCATCATCTTTGTTATATGGATTCATTTGGAAAAGAGTAGTTTGACTTTTAAAAGGACTCTATCTTTGTATTTTGAGGGTTCCTCTTACTGATGCTAAGAGCAAGGATTGGTGTACTGGATACTTTGGTGTCTATCGTTTACATATACTTGCTAAATTGAGCATCTTTGACATTTCTCTGCACTTCCCTTGTTCATCCTGTACTTATTGTGCAGAAAAATATCAGTCATACTTAGGGAGTCTCTCTCTCTTTCTCATGAGTCATTTCTCTTCTTTTGTATATGTTTTATGAGTTCTAGATACATATCACTCATCTACTTGTCAGGAAAAAAGTACTCCTATGTGTCAATCGTGTTTATCCCTTAAGTTTAGACTTGTTGAATCTTTTAATTCCCATTTTCTCCTTTTGTCCTTTTACTTGAATGAGCTACGAGTAGGAAGTTTTTCTTGCCAAGACTGAGCTCATGAAAAATGTTCATGAATTGTTCAGGTGATGCGAGCACTTCGTCTGGAAATACTGGTTATGTATACATTGCTACTCATATGATAGCTCAAGATATGTAACTTACCATCTGAATATGATGGCTCTCGATTAGGTATATAGCTCAGATCGGTATGTCACTATCGAAAGGGATGACAGGAACAAGGTTTGTTGGCTGGCGTGTAAGGTTCCACTGATCAATATAAGCTGATAGATCAGCATTTATATTTGGAAGTTCATGATGTTGAATTATCTTCAAGATCTCTTCGGTTTTACCGACTAATAAAGCTGCTCTGTGCACACTTTTTTCCCTCTCCTCAATGGCACTAAAATTACAAGCCATAGTTATAGCTCGTGGCAGATTAGTGAAGCAAGCACTTGGTATATCTGCTATTGTAATGGGTAATCTCTCGAATAGTTTTTCATCAACCAAGTCATTGTGTCCTTCACTATGAAGCAACAGCAAGATAGCCTTATTGCTCACTTTGAAATAACTTTATATATACCGTATATGCAATTGAATATGTCCGAAGTTTATACATTTTTACATGAAAATTAGGGGTAAATGACTTTAAAAAATTTATATAAAAATGGTTGAACTTTATCATATGAAACTTTACGAAGTTATTCCAAAAATAAATAGACATGCAAATTTATAAGAAAACATATTAGGATCTATGCAAATTATTCAGTAAGCAAATCATCCCAAGCCCAAGAAAGTCTTGTGCTAATTGAAACCAAGTGAGGCCTTCTTTGAATAATTTTTAGAAATCTCACTACTTTATGACTTAATTATGTGACTTTTCGTGAGTTTTTAAAATTATCATTCATGTCAGATTTTGGTCTCTACATACATGTACCCGTGCGTGTCCAGATACAATGTATCTCGAATACATCAGGTCAAAATTAGGTGTAATTTATTCTAGATACACTATATCCAATTGAGTTCACATATATATGACTCTCTCGCTAAGCCTCTTTCCTATATCACTCGCCTCCCTCCAATCTCGTGCATCTCTCTCCTATCCCACTTGCCTCTCTCCTTCTCTTGTGCTTGCTTCCTCCCTATGATTGTTATTTTAGAGCATCTATATTTGGTGGCAAAAATACATGTATCTAAGTTTATCCGACTTGAATTTTGGTACAAAATTATGAATTAGTGGTATAAAATGTAATTATTTTAAACTATAGGGAGAATTAATAAATATTATGGTTGGAATGTTTGTGTAATTCGGTAGTTTTGCCTAATTCATGCTGCACATATCAAACTCTTTCATATTAGCTCAGCCCAATCCAAGAAAGTCTTGGGCTAATTGATTGTTAAGAAACCAATTTTTTAGGCCCTTTTTGGTCTTTATTTTGGCCCAAAAAGCACAAGCAGAAAAGAGCAAGTTAATTGGAAAGTGATGGTACCAATTTTGCCGTGACGAAATTAGAAATTTTATTTAAGAGTGTTCAAGATTGAATTTATATGTATGAAAAATATTGACCTATATAGTTTTCTATATACATAGTACAACTTTTTGGTGAAGTGTATTCGACTGGCCACCCTTCACTATATATAAATGGCTACGTAACTGTAAATTTGGTCGGTAGAACAAAAAATACATTATTTTTTTAAAAAAATTATACCAAAATTTGGTATAAATAAATAAGTGTTGGGCAGAGGAGCACATGATACTCAGAGTTCAAGAAGCACTGAATAAAGTGAAAAAGCAATCCTAGGAAATTAAATAAGTTTTACGCAATAAAATACACAACAAAAAATATATTTAATCTTTATATCTCTTATAAACTTAAGTAAGTATATGGTGTATATTCAATTTGTACACTATATACTTAATAAACATCAACCGCGACTATAAGCTTTTTTTGTTTGTTTCCAATTCGATGTTTAGAGTCTGTATTGGAGTTAGACTAAATTCGAATCATGCTTCGGGGATGACACTCTCAACAAGATTTTTTCTATACTCAAGGCTCGAACCCGATACCTTTACTATACGGCTACAAGCTACTATAGGCTAGACGGGTGAACGTTTTTTTTTAACCGGCTAGCTAAGAATGCTACTCCCTTCTGTTTAAGTTTGTTTGGTCTATTTTAATTTAACACGAAGTTTAAGAGAATATATATAATATTTGAATTTTGTGGTTTTAATTAATTAAAAAATGTCAAATGTACCAAAATATCCTCTAATTTCATGATTGTAAACATGTAATCATGCGAAAGTCGAAATTAAAGAATTGCTTAAAAAAAAAGAATAATTCTTTTTCAAATAAACTAAAAAAATAGGTAAACATATTGAAACAAATTGAATAATTTTTTTTCTGAATCAATCATATTATACATGGCCTATGAGTTCTTTATACATAAAGGCTGACAGATAATAAATTTTAGAAGGGACCATCACGTGGTCTTATTTTTAATGCTTTTCACTATGCCTATATATAATTAGTACCTTATGGTAAATATTTATTCGCATCGAATGTTAGGATAGAGTCAATATTTCGATTACGAATTTGATAATATTCATTAATTTTGGCACATATTTTATATGTACACACACATTAATACAACAAGCTCAAATCAAATTCAGATTTTTGTTTATGTCAGTTTGATCTGTTTGTCGACGTTAATTAAGATCACCATAATATAAGCTCAAACTAGGTTACTCCTAATTGTTTTTACTAAGAGATTCTCCATGTTTAAAATTTAAACTCGAAAATTCTGATTAAGTGCGGAAAAATCGCAACTTTTCCAATGTGTATATACACATTAATTCAAAACCTCAAACTATACAAAATACTAGTAGTAGTTATTAGAATGCATATAAATTATTAAATTGCAAGAAGAATATTGACAAACATGCTTTAAAATAATGATCTTTTGTGGTCCTATGCTTCTATGTGACAAAAACAGTGATCATTGAACTCACCACTAAGGTTACAAAATCCAAAACCAATTTGCAATGAGAATTCACAACTGGCACAAATCTATGGCTAGTTTTTGATTTTGTAGGAGAAAAAAAAAAGTAAAAAAGGGAGTTGTTGTTGTGTGAAGGGGTGTGGGTGAGGGGGGGGGGGGGGAGGGAGTGGTGGTAAAGAAACAAAAAACAATTAAAGAATTAAATTCAAGTGTGGTTTATTTTTGGGAGGACCCTCTCTCTGTCTCTTGTCAAGTTTTTAAAGATTATAATGGCAAAGTCAGAATTTTGATCAAGGGGTGTCAAAATATAAAGTAGCAAAATTCCATAGGAGTCGAAGAGTGTTAACATGAAATATATATATAAACTCCTTTCCGTCCCTCTAGCTTTGCTTTGTTATTACACAATAGTGGTTAAATGATCGATAAAATTTAATCTTGAATTTTTTTTGGTACATTGAAAAATACTATGTAGACTACTTAAAAGTTGTTCATAAGTTATAAGCTATAATATCGTTTGACTCAGTTGAGAAAAAACTTTCATCTCGTTAATTACATTTTTTCATATTGTCAATTCTTTTTTATGTGTGTAAAATCTTCATTCACTAAAAAAAATCTGTACATTTGTTTGTCTCTTTCCAATTATAAATAATAATCGTCTTCTTTATTTTCAACAAGTACTTAAAATCTTCAATAACAATAGCTAAAAAGTTTGTTTAACACTCAACAACTCTATAACAAAACTTTAGGTAAATAAATTTATTTTTTCTGAGTCATTCTTCTCTGAATAATATTTAAATGTTTTTTTACAGTAATAATTTAATGATAATATTAATATTCTTTTGTAACAAATGTTATGCCTCGAATACTATATTGGAATATAAAATTTATCCATTATGTCATTATCAACTTTATTTATATGATTGAAATTAGTAGTCATTTCACTCTAAATGGTCCCCAAATTTGTGTCGTAAAGTTGATAAAAGAGTAATGAAGATAATTCCATATCCATACGTATAAATAAAGCATAGTATCTAAACAAAAACAAAATTTAATTTAAAGCCACTCTATCTCCTTCATTCAATGCTCATTATACCTTTCCCATCCCTTTTTTCTCATCTCACTTTGACATTCAACAACATATACATATAGTAATATTAAAACCTTTGAATCATCCACTATCTTTTTATATGATTATGTTGTTAAGCTCAGCTTGTACACAGTTCCATTAATTATATGTGATATTTGTTATAGCTCACCGGTATAAGTATATACTGAGTTTATCAATTATATGCTTAGTTTGATTACATGTGATTTCTGCTATCTCTCACCAGCACATGCACAATCAAGTTTATTCATCACTTTGCTTAATTCAATTAATTACACGCAATACATGTTATATTTTACCAGCACATGTATGTACTAAATTTATCAACCACTACACTTAGCTCGACTAGCTACACGTGATACTTACTAATATGCTATCTCTCACCAATATAGCTATGTCATTATGTACTGAGTTTCTCAACGACTTTGCTTAGTTCTCCTAATTACATGTGATAACTGTTATTTCTCACTAATACTATCGAGTTTATCAACCGCTACATTTAATTCGACTAATTACGCATGATACATGATATTCCTTACCAACACATGTATGTACCGAGTTCATCAACCACTATGCTTAACTCAACTAATTGCACGTAATACCTATCGTTTCTCACCAACACATGTATTATCGAGTTTATCGACCTTAACTCAACTAATTACACGTGATACATGCTATTTCTCACCAACACATATACATACCAAGTTTATCAACCACTACACTTAGTCCAACTTATTACACGTGATACCTGCTATCTCTCACCAACACAGACACATATTGGGTTTATCAACCACCATTTTTATTGATGTTGTCCATATGTATGTGTGTGACGATGAATGCTATGAGATTTTGGGCCCTAAAGGACAAACTAAAACCACAAAATATTACTACTACCAAGACCCACCCTGATTTTACCATATGGCTGCAAGTGCAACTAGTACTACTTCTACTTCTACTTCTACAAATCTCAAAGACCAAATCCAACCCATTAAACCCAAACGCCGACGTTGCCGTGAAACCACCATTACTACTTCTACTAACCCTTCACATTATTCGCCCACCAACTGTTCGACACAATGCCTCAACCAAACTCGTAAAGTTGATACACCCACTATTGTCTCACCGGACAACTCATGGTGTTGTCCTGCATCTAAATCACCGTCGCCGTTGCCGTTGCCGTCGCCGCCGCAACCCATTTCCTCCTGTTCCTCCTCGATTTCGGATAATACCAAGATCCGATACTCGCCGACGACGTTCCCTCGAGTAATGGAATCTATCGGCACCCTTTACGGCGGTGGTGGAGGAGGTGGTACTCCGATCCCAAATAACAACACCCACGAAGGATTTCCGTCGTCTTTCAGTAAATTCAACTCAGCGCTTACGGCGGGGTTGCTGAACCCAATGTCACCGCCACCTTCTATGGATAAGACTCGTTCGAGTCCGACCCTTTTCGAAATGATGGCGAATGAACCTGAATGTATTACGAGATCGACTATTAACACACCCATTTCGAATGGATGCTCAAATCAGAAGCCAGCTTCGTTTGTACCACTGGACAAACAGGCGTTAATGCAACAGCGACTTTTGGATCTTTTAGCTTGTAGAAGCCCAGGGAATCAGTTTAATGATTCGGGTTCAAGTGATGTGAAGTTAACATTGAGTTCTAAGGATGGTTTGAGTGTTGCTATGAATGTTCATAGGCAGATCTTGGTGGTTCATAGTCGTTTTTTCGCTGTGAAGTTGTCGGAGAAATGGGTAAAGCAACAGAGAAATTCAGGTCCTTACATTGTTGAGATTGCGGATTGTGATGATATTGAAGTGTATATTGAGACTTTGAGATTGATGTATTGCAAGGATTTGAGGAGAAGGCTCATGAAGGTAGATGTTTCCAAAGTCCTTGGGATCTTAAAGGTAATGCCTATGCATCTAAATTTACTTTTTTTGTGTTGTATAATTGCCTAGTAACGGAATTGTGCGACAATGTGTTCTTTTTAAAGTAAATTGTGATTAATGAAATAGAGGATTCACATAGCCGACCTAACTGATTTGGAATTGACTCCTGGTTGATTATTGTTGAAATCACATTGCTAGATAGATGTGTGACCTCAAATTAAGTATATGTTTGCTCAATTTTGAACTGTGAATTCATGTGAATTAGGTGTCAAAGTTATCGTCTTTGTTCATTAGCCCATGCATATATGTTTGTGTCCAAAAGTTAATTCATGTGGCTGCATCTGTATTGCTTGCAAATATATTGCAATGTGCTTTGTGATGGGATAGTTGATTTTCTGTGCTACTTTAGGATATTGAAATCTTTTAGAGATGAAGTCTAGTCTTTATGCTCAGACTCATAGGGTGAATAGAAATGTGCAATTGTATTTTACCTTAGCCGATTATATTGTTTTATAGGTTTCTGCTGAAATTGGGTTCGACGCGGGGGTGTTATCGTGCCTGGAGTACTTGGAAGCTGCTCCTTGGGCTGAAGATGAAGAAGAAAAGGTAGCTTCACTGTTGTCTGAGCTTCAGCTTGAAGGAGTAGGTGCTGGGGAAGTTTTAAGGAGGGTATCTCTTGATGTTACATCGGGAACAGAGAATGGAAATGGGAATGAGGAAGTGCTTCTCAAGCTATTGCATGTGGTTCTTGAAGGGAAAGATGAGAAGGCGAGACGAGAGATGAAAGGGTTAGTATCCAAAATGTTGCATGAGAATTCATCTCATAACGATTTGAGGAAGGAGTCATTGTATTCAGCTTGCAATGCATGCCTGCAATTGCTCCGCCACCATTTTTTACGGGCAGCAGAGGCAGACATGATGGATGTGGGTCAGATTGCACGACAGGCTGATAATCTACATTGGATTTTGGATATCTTGATTGATAGACAGATAGCTGAAGATTTTTTGAGGACTTGGGCTTCTCAGTCTGAATTATCTGAAGCACATTCTAAGGTGCCTGCACTCCATAGGTATGAGGTTAGTAGAGTCACGGCTAGACTGTTTGTTGGTATTGGTAAAGGGCAATTACTAGCTTCCAAGGTTGCTAGGTGCTCTCTTTTGCAAACATGGTTAGTGCCTTTCTATGAGGATTTTGGATGGATGAGGAGGGCATCAAGAGGTCTTGATCGGCATTTAATTGAGGATGGTCTCAGCAATACTATTCTGACCCTACCAATGGCGTTGCAGCAAGATATTCTGATGTCTTGGTTTGATCGGTTTTTGAACTCCGGAGATGACTGTCCAAATATCCAGAGGGGATTTGAAATTTGGTGGAGAAGGTCTTTCTGGAGGCGAAATGGTGAGCCTGAACGCCCTCGTCAAATGCGTGTCATGACTGCAACAATTGAGAACTCTTGAGACTTAACCTGTGAATGAGATGAGGTCGACAACCACTCTGTGATTGTCTTGTTTCAACTCTTGCTATTCCTCAGCCCTCATCTTATACCAATTTTTATTGTTTTTAATCCGGAAGAAAGTAGACACTTTTTTTTTTTCAGTTTAGGTGTCATGTGATATGATAATTTTTTTCTTTCTGATCCCATGTAGAGCTCTCTTGTCTGTGACTGAATTTCCTGAATCAGTGGTTTTATCACAAAGGGTCATCCTACTTAAAAGTTGTGCGACTTCCTAAATGCTTAAATTCTGTGACAGGGAGAATTCATATCCTCAGTATAACAAGATATGGATGATCAATTCAAGCAAGTTGACAATTTAGGTTATTTGAGACATAAGGGCGATAGTCTATCTGATCTCTCACTTTGGGAAGTGCAACAGTAATGCTAGTGAGTGTCACTAGGCCTAAGGTCCAGTAGTTTGAAGGTTCTACTGAATGCAGTACTGGAACTTGGTGGCAGTAAATATCTGCCACCCCAGAAAAGCTGCTAAACTTTCTTAACAAATTAACCAGTTGTTTTGGCTGTCGTTTCCTTCCTGTGTTTACTAGTCGGTTTGCATTACCAGATATGTTCTTAAAGATTCTTTCAGGAAGTTCTTCTTCGCCTTCTAGTAACAGAACATAGTGGTGCAATTCAGTCTCTCTTCTGTGTTCTGGTTCTGATTGATGATAGTTTGGGCCCTGAAGTTGACACAAAAACATCAAGTTGAAGGAAACAACTGAGACAAACCGCACAAATTTGCTCGTTGACAGAATCTGACTTCTTATGCAGAAGGCAAGAATTAAGTTTCTTGTACCTAGAAGATATTTTCTAAATTTTGTTCCCCTGATGTTTAATGACAATGGTCTCTCCTTCCACTCAATCAGCTTTCGGATCCAGTAGTGTTTGACTTTAAAGAAATTAGCATTGGCATTGCCTGTTTTGTTGGAACACTTAAAGCTTATACAGATAAACCATCTGAGTGCTGGAGCAAAAGTACCCACTACCACCCCAATAGACTGAACAATAAGAATTAAGCTTGTTGTCCATTTGTATGTTGAACTATTTGGGAAATATGGAGGTGAATTATATATCCTTATAAGAGCTTCCTTCAAAATTAGAGATGCCAACACACAGATTGTCCCTGAAGTCGAAAGGGTTACAGAACGTGCCATCACAAATTGAGGGTTACTAGTTTCGACCATCATCCAACACTTCTCCACAGTGTCTCTCAGTCTATCGATGGACAACCTTCCGAATGCTAGTGCATCATTCTTCAAGGTAATTTGATATGCTTCTTTATAGTTAAGTTCAAGAATTTTTTTGGTGGTTGCAAGTGTTAAAGAGGAGAAACTCAGTACCAATATCAGAAGAAACATGAGGAATATAGTTGCTATAAATTCATATATCAGGTTAACAATCAAACCAGTATGTATTTCAATGCATAGATTGACAATGATTGTGATTACCAGGATGTCCAGAGCTACAACGTTCGACAAGATTTCTTTGTTACTCGTGGCTCCTATTGATGGCATGAAGTTACCTATTACAACACACACGAAAGCAGTGCTGGCCGGTATGACCTGGCATCGGTTCAGATATATCGACAGGCAACTTCATTGCTACAGCTAACACTGTAAGAGAAGCAGCATTCAGAGCAAATAATTTGCATGGGAACCAAAGTCTCTTTAAGCGGAAGGCTTGGAAAGCATCAGCAGCCATAGCAAGGATACAAAGTAGAGATGCTGCTGCTACATAGATACCGATCATTGGCATTGGGCTACTGAATGTTTCACTGTAGCATCTTTTGTTACATGCGTTGGTGATCGTATGGCATTAAGGATTATCACACGACGCCTCATTCATCTTCAGACTCCTATTTCCCTTGTGGATGCTAAATTCAGGAGCAAGAATATGAAGACCTACATCAAATGGTTTATCTGTATTTTTTGCCTTGTGATTTGAAACCAACATGGAAGGATGACTGAGCTTTCAATTGAATTAGATGATTGACAATTTGATGTAAAGTGACAAAAGACTTTTCCACAAAGAGAGCACCACAAATCACTATGTTCAGTGTTTTCTCTATGCTTTCCTTCTAATGTACTACTCCTCTGTTTCAATTTGATTGTCTGATTTTGACTTAACACAGAGTTTAAAATAGTAAAAGAAGACTTCTAAATCTTGCGGTCTCAAACCAAATATATGTAGAATATACTAAAATGTCTTTTAATCTTGTAGTTTTAAACATGTAATTTCAAAAAGTTGTTGTCTAACATGTAAAAAGACATTCTTTTTTAAATAGACTACAAAGTACAAACAAATTGAAATGGAGAACGGAGGAAGTATCTGGATACTAAAGACCAAGCCTTTCAGCATCTAATGTGACATTCACTGGGAAATTTCCATGTCAAATGGGACACAACTCGTGGAAACCTGTTAACCATCACTTCAAATTTGAGCTGGATAACAGATTCCAGTTCCTCGTATTGGAATTCTTTTTTCTTTGTTTTTTTTCTAGTGCAAGTGTAAAACTTGTTGGCAATTGATAAGTTTCCTACATCTATTTGATGTTAAAAGGACATATCGAACACTTGTATATAAAACTCCAATTTCTATCTAGTTTTCCATATTTATATTAAAATTCGACTTTTTTTATTCCAGATTCGAAACTAGACTGTTATATATTATTATTATTATTATTATTATTATTATTTAGCATTTCCTTGCCACTCAAAAAAATAAAATAAAGGTGAAGTAAATTATTTAGGCACCTTTTACAGTTCAAAATCTTGAGCTAAAAAAAACACAGAAAGGCAAAAGAGGGAAATGACGACGAGGAGCAATTTCTACAAGAACCCTTCTTATGCATACAACAAAGCATTTAATCTCAATTCTGCAATTCAAAATCTTCAAGGTTTCAATTCTTATTCATCGTTTCGGTTTTGTATTTTCTTCAATTTAATTCGTGTTTTTTCTTCTATTCCAGCTTATAATGCCGTCACCGGTAACGTTCCTCCTCCGGCTGAGACGAATTCCGTCGAGGAAAAAACGAGCCACAGGAAACGCCGACGGGAACGGAAATCTAAGGTGCAGCAGAACAATGAAGTGGAAGTGATTGATTTGCCTATGTCTCATCAGGATTACATTGAAAAAAGGAGGTGATTTTAGTATTGATTTCAAATTATCAAGTATATTTTACTATTCACTTCAATAAGCTAGGGTGTGCCAGAAAGGAAAAATTCACTTGTGAAATCTGGAGTTGTTAGTTGATCATTTTGTATTTGAAATGCAGGAAGGAGGCTACTTCAACGCAGCCTTATGAAGAATTGACTGCAGAAGTGTTGGTAATTGGAACTGTTTGCTTTAATGTGTTCTGTAATTTTGTTTAATATCACGTAAGCTATAGTTTAGTGATTGTTTGGGTTCTAATTCTGTTCCAGGAACCGTCAAGTTCAGCACTGCATTTGGTGGAGTACGACAGTAAGAGCTTCATTTGGCTTTTTTCTCTTTTTTCTTTTGGGTTAATTCTCGATGAATTAAAAAGGTTTAATTTTAGTTTGGGTATGCAATTGATTATGTGTGTTGATTTGAACTCAAAGCATCCTTGCTTGTTTTAAGAAGTCCATATTTTTTAGTGTTCCCATCATCTGTGTTATATGGATTCATTTGGAAAAGAGTAGTTTGACTTTTAAAAGGACTCTATCTTTGTATTTTGAGGGTTCCTCTTACTGATGCTAAGAGCAAGGATTGGTGTACTGGATACTTTGGTGTCTATCGTTTACATATACTTGCTAAATTGAACATCTTTGACATTTCTCTGCGCTTCCCTTGTTCATCCTTTACTTATTGTGCAGAAAAATATCAGTCATACTTAGGGAGTCTCTCTCTCTTTCTCATGAGTCATTTCTCTTCTTTTGTATATGTTTTATGAGTTCTAGATACATATCACTCATCTACTTGTCAGGAAAAAAGTACTCCTATGTGTCAATCGTGTTTATCCCTTAAGTTTAGACTTGTTGAATCTTTTAATTCCCATTTCTCCTTTTGTCCTTTTACTTGAATGAGCTACGAGTAGGAAGTTTTTCTTGCCAAGACTGAGCTCATGAAAAATGTTCATGAATTGTTCAGGTGATGCGAGCACTTCGTCAGAATGTGAAAAGGGGGATAATCCTTATCTGAATACAGAAATTTTACTGGTTAAAGGTTAGTAGAACTGGAATTTCATTTTTTTTACTTTGTGATTTTGTATACTGTCTAGTTATGTATTCTTTTCATCAGAAGTATCTATAAGGGTCATGCGGGGTAGAAGTACATACACACATCTGTATGAATATGTGTCTATACATAAATTGGTTATGGAATAGCCTTTTAGTTGGATTTCTCATTCTTAAAAAACTTCCTGTTAGAGTCATCTATGGAACAACCTTTTGGTTGCTCTTTCTCATTCTAAAAGATTTTCTGGTCAGTCAGGGTTTATAATGGACCGGCAAGATAACTAGGACATTACATATATGTTTCACTTCCCTTCACCAACAAGGGTTATGTGGTGGGATGGATAGGATCCATCCACCCGTAACCAAAGGTCTTGAGTTTGAGCCCTAGGTGTGGAAGACAATTTGTTAGGGAGCGCTTCCCCCTTAAATGGGCCTAACATGGCATGAATCTGGTTTAGTCGGGGCCCAATGCGAGTACTGGACACTGGCCAGGAAACCAAAATAAAAATATGTTTTTACTTTCCTTCACTTGGAAACTATATGCCCATTAGAGTAAGGCATTCTCTTGAAACTAGATCCACTTGTTCTTCTTTCCGACATTGTTTCTAATAATGAACTTATTCCATGCCAATTTGGTGGTTATCCTATTCCACACTACTCGAAAGCCATTGTAAAATAATCGTCGATTTCTATCATAATGGAGGTTATTATAGGAGATTCTTGTGCAAGTGGAGATTTCTTTCAATTATGTAGAGATAAGATTAAGAATGAAGATATCCAGGACAAGGTGGGAGTGGCCTCTACGGTGGACAAGATGTGGGAAGAGAGATTGAGATGGTTTGGGCATATGAAGAGGAGGTGCGCAGAGGCCCAGTGAAGAGGTGTGAAAGGTTGGCCACAATGGGCTTAAAGAGAGGTAGAGGTAGGCCGAAGAAGTATTGGGGAGAGTTGATTAAACTAGACATGGTGCAACTCCAACTATCCAAGGACATGACCTTAGATAGGAAGTTATGGAGGTTGCGGATTAGGGCAAAAGGTTAGTAGGCAGTTGAGAGTTTGTTTCATTTCCTAGCAGGATAAAGTGGTGCATTGTATCTGTTTCCCGATTCTTATTTTTTTACCAGTAGTAGTAGCATTTGTCTCATAGTTGGCCTATTTTATGACTTTTGTTATTCCTCGTTATTTACTGTGCTTCAGTTATCACACTAGTTTGTTATGGTTATTCCCCCTCTTTGATATGTTATCTTATGTTTTCCTTATCATTTTCTATGTCCTCTTTACTTCTGTATTGTACTGTTAGCTGCTCTGATGTTTGTTACTCTAGCTGATGGTCTTCCGGAAACAACCTCTCTACCTCCTCGAGGTAGTAGTAAGGTTTGTGTACACTCTACCCTTCCCATACCCCGCTTTTGGGACTCTACTGGGTTTTTGTTGTTGTATCGGAAAATACCAAATACAGAAAAAACATTGCTATATTTTCACCACTCTGGATTGCTATCAAATCTCTGTCCATGCATTTTCATAAGGTATATATGTCCATACATACAGATGTGTCTGTTTATGTAGATATACATATCTATGCAGATATATGCATATGTATAAAACTTTTTATTCGTCAAGTCAAATTGAGTATAGTGCCACCTTTTGATTGCATCCAAGGAAAGAATGCCATAAAAGGTGTTTAGCAACATGGAACAAATGTTTTTCCTATCTTTAAAGGTTTGACTCAATATTCTTAAAGGAATCCGTTAACTACTAATCTGGCATTGTATCTATATAATATAATTCCCACCACATCGAAACCCCTTGACAGATTGTTAATAAATTTTATCTTCAAGTCTGAAATTTGTGAACAGCTTTTTTATTATGGCTTTCAAGAGGTTTCCGTTCATTCTCTCTTGCCTAATTTTCTCCATTAACTTTTTTAGGTAGTGGAAATGAAACAGATAGAGTTAAAACTCGCAGTGAGCAGCGATTTCCTCTTCCAGGAGAACCTGCTTGTGTGGTATGTGGGAAGTATGGGGAATATATATGTGATGAGGTAAGTCACTGGATCACGGGTCTATTTCTCTTTTGTTAGCTTGTACTTTGTGTTCCTCTCTTAACGAACCCCAAATCCTTGTTTGCTTTGCTTGTAGACTGAAGAAGACATCTGCAGTACGGATTGCAAATCTGACCTTCTGCAAAATCTTAAACTCCAGCAGGTATTTGTTCTTTCTATTTGTATATATATAGACCAGCATGGATACATGTGTAATGATTTGGGATTTAACAATTCCTTTTCAAAATGGTATATGCAAAAAAAAAGGTAAAAGAAAATTGATTGGTCAAGTAGTAGAGATTCTGGGTCATTTTGAGATTTTCTTTTTTATTATTCGAGTTCTCATTCTCTCTGATATGTTTTAAATGTAGATAAGTTTAAACAGTAAGACTCAATAAAACTAATTAAACTTCCAAGAAATGGTCAAATGTAGAGTTGAGATGTTCAACTTTTCATTCAAACATAAAGAAACGCTCAGACTCAGTTATGCTGCATTTTTTTTGAATTATTTTCTTTTTCATGCACTAGTTTAACTCGCCATACTTAAAAAATTAATTTAACTCGATGATACAAGTGTTGGCACCTGCTCATATTCTCTTTCACCTCTCCCCCCTCCCCCCTCATGCTTTTTAATGGGACATACTAAGATTCCTACTCTCAAATTGGAGTTTATAAGAATCCAATTTAAAAAATAATACAACAACATACCCAGTGAAATCGCACAAAGTGAGGTTTGTTTGAAAATAGGTTATGTACTCGTTAAATAGGTAATACAATAATTCAATAATGAAGTGACAGAAAATTTTGTAAAATAGAAGAAATATACATAACCTGGAAAGGATACTCTTCATATTTAGTTTGGTTAATAAAGTTATATAGTAAATTAGTCTAATTTCTTAGATAGATGTACTACATATTTAAGTAGTTTAGCATTTAATATTAATTCAAGTGGAAAGATCACAATGTTTAGTAGCAAATAAGAATCTGTCGGTTTACATTAGATTCTATGATCTAGAACTCATTTTTATTTTTCATAAAAGTTCTCAAACTTATGATTGGATATGTTACCATAATACATTTTTTTCTTTCTGAAGAAATGATTCCATTCCAAAGTGGATTATGTTATTTTTCAAGAGTATTTTATTTGGAAATTTGAGAGACCTTACTAATTGACAGAATTATGACGGTAAATTTTTTTACTTTCACTATTTCAATTTAGACTGTATTATTTAACCAACTGTTAGGAAACAAGTCAAATGAACTAAGAATTTTCTGGCTACTCTATTGTAAGGTGAAGTTGAATAAAATGATTTTATTTCTCTTCATACAACATACCTGGTTATTTGGAAGTCTAGGAAGAAATAGAAAGCTAATGAAAATAGAAACTTATAACTCAGAATGATGCATGTTCTTTTAGCACTTCTTATGCATATGGGTTCTGAAAATATTTCAAAGAGAAACTATACGAATTTCGAATAAAAAAGTTCAAACCTAATAACAGAAATTAACTATGAAGCTTGATGAGCCAACAATTGTTCAACAACTACGTCTCAGTCCCAAACAAGTTCAGGGAGCCAACAATTGTCAAAAGGAACAAAAAACAGCTGATCTGATTGTGCTAATTCCCTTGCTAGACACATTTTTATATTTTTATAGTGTTTTTGTACTACTTTAATTCGTTAGAGAATGTTAGAGTCTAAACCGATAAGAATTCAGCATTTTTAAAGGGACCCATGTCTTGAACACTAGAGCTTCTAATATGTTGGTCAGAATTTAGGATATGTAGAGTACGCACCCAATCTGTAAATCATTTGAGCTATACTGTTACACCAAAAAATGAAAAAAACATTTGAGCTATACATACTTTTATATACGTATGAATGAGATTCCTGCTTCTTCAACTCCAACTGTTTCTCTGACGATGTCTTAGGGGGCCTTAAGTAGCAAAGTCAAAGCTGAAACTTTTTCTGGACAAAAATGCAAATTGGAGGTTCCTGGATCTGGAGGCAACATCTGGGATTATGACCGTCATCGATGGTCCAAGAATAGATCTGCTCTTTGTACTTATGAGTGGTAAGCTTGTTGACATTCAGTTTGAAGATGAGTAGTCTCTCTAGATTGGGTCTTGGGCACCGAAGACTTTGATCTGTTATATTTGGATGGTCATTCTCAGCAATCAAGCTCTGCTTGGACTAGGATAATTACACTATGTGCTGGATGTGGCAACCACCTTTATGATCAAAAGTCAAATGTGCCTGGTTTTGTGCTCCTGATCTTTTTTCTAAATTACAATTTCACTGGTGTAGTTGGAAATGTAAGAGGCCAGGTCATCTTCCTGAAGATTGTTTGATCATGGCATCAAAAGTTCTACCCCTTTCCTCTGGTCAAGCTGGTGAATCCAGCGAACAGGTTCTACTTCCTTTCTTAAGATCTTAGAAAAGTCTAGTTATATTTTGTTATGCTATTCTTAGTAAATGCCTTACGCAGGTGGAAGTGGCTCAAAGTAAACCCAGTATATCCAAAGAGCTTCTGCAACTGTATAAAAGGTTCCTTAATTCCTTGTAGTTTTATTTCTTAAGTTTCGTCTTGTATACTACATTTTAATTTGTATCCCTGCAACAATACAGCAGCCTCCCGCTTCCTCCCTGCCGAAGGAAGGTGGAAGAAGGAGAGAGTACATTGACCGTGTATGCTAGTTTTTTTATATGTTTGGTGTGTCTTGACCTACACTTTGTGTGTGAATGAGTATCCTCCATACACTGTCGTTAGAAAATGGACCTTGGGCGTAACTCAACCTCAAAAGTTAGTTCATGACATGAGAATTGCCTAAGACCATGTATGGTCACAACAACATATTCCCTCAACAAATTAGCCCCGTATGCTAAGGTCTAGACATCTGGAATGTGAACAACATTCCATGGGGGGCCTGACATCAGGTATATCAAGAATAGCAATGGTTTGACTCTAATATCTTGTTATGAAAATAGATCTTGGCTAAGTCAACCGAGCTGAGGAATGTCTAAAACGATATAAGGAGATGATAGCTCTTTCTCTCCACCAATTTAGGACAATTTAGCAAGTATGGTTCAAGATAATCAACACAATTGACAGCCCTATGTTATCAATTGTTTACCTGCGAATTCCAAGTTATCAGTTTACCTGCGAATTCCAAGTTATCGGCTCTTCTCCTAGCTTCTATGCAAACAAACACACGTAATTAGCACATAACTATTCTAATAATTATCAAGTGGTGGCAAAAGAACACATATGTAACAGTTAAATGTATGCATTTTATGCCGAATATGAAGGCCCATCACTAATATTGGTTTTTGGTCTCTCTTTATCTGCAGATGCCATCAAATTGGCAAAAGTTCATTGGATGCTAACTGTAACACCTGCCGAAGATCAACTACTTTAGCCATGTGTCTTGATTGTAGTAATACCTTTTGTGACAGGTAATTTAGCAGCAGTTGAAGTGAGCTCAGCTTTATGTGCTATGTTGCTTGGTGAATTCACGTGTCACCTCTTTTGACAGCATCAAATTGCTCAAACCAGAAGGGATTGATGACATGTTAGGATGGCATAATTTTTGGTGCCTTCTCCTAGTTTGGAATCCCCCCACCCTTTTCCCTTCCTCATTCTGTGTGACCCCTAAAGTAGGTCTATACATGTTGCTTGAGCTTTCATGGGACAACGTGACCGATGACTCTTAAAGAATCTGTTCTCTTTTATTGGGAGATAATGGGGAAGGTCCCCTACTATCATGGTTGAACATAACCTATAAGGATTCAAATGAGGAGCTGGGATTTTGTGATGAAACTGAAGGGATGCTAGGATTTATAATTCTGATACCTTTTGAACATCACAGTTCTTGGTCTTCTTAACCAGTGAAGCTTATGATTTATTCAATTTGTAATTAAGGAGAATTGATTAATCTTTATCTATGGTGATCTCAGTGCAGGTCACCTGAGAGAACACATCACTGGACACCCTTCTCACCGACAATATTACTCCTATAAGCTCAAGCGTTTGGTAAAACTATGCCTATCTTAGTTCCTGTAATTTCAATTTGTCTTAAGTTATGATTCATATCGTACATACATGTAAAATGTGACAGTTATGAAGAGTTTAAGGCTTCTAATTCTTGTTGTAGTACTATATTTCTTTGCATTTTAGTCATTATTAGGACGTTTATCAATTTTGTTGAAGATCAATTGTGTCAAAACATAATATTGGAGTATTAAATAAATACAAGCTTTAGTTTGTTTATACTTACTTTTGGAGCATCATGAAAAAAGTTTAGTTAATGTGGTGTATCATTGGAGTGCAAAGTCATATAAGCTTGTCATAGTACTAAGATTGAGCAGAACTCCCTGTTTCATTGTCTGTCAGCATTCTGAATCACTGCTTCTGATTTTTAACTCCTCCTAAGAGAGATTTGCCAGGTATACCCATTCCCACACCCTAAAGGAGGATTGCTATAGGTTGATTGCCAATGTAAAAGTAATCTAGTTATGTGAGGGATGCAAACTCCAAACCAAAGCATTCATGGGAGAGGGTAGTACTAGGGTAGGTGATCCCCTACGAAGTCCTTGTGTTGTGTTCCTTGGCAGCCCAACTTGTTTGCATTGACGTATAGTTGATTGATTTATATTTGACACTGATTTTAATTTTATCACCATCTTGGTTGCTCTTGATATTTTTATATGTAGCTTGAGTTTATCATATTTACCTGTATGTTTGACATGCTTAATGATGCAATCTTTATTAAACATAGGTAAAATGCTGCAAATCTACGTGCAGAGTGACAGACATCAAGGATCTTTTAGCTTGTCACTATTGTTTTGATAAGGCTTTCGACAAGTTCTACGATATGTATTCAGCAACTTGGTATGTGATGGTGTTACATCTAATGATGCTGATGTATTATATGAAAGCATGACTAGGCCGGTCAACTCAGTAATCGCCTGGAAACTCCCGACCCACTCCCTTCATTGTGTTAGCTAACTGGACAGTGACTCCTACTCATTAGAACACCAGATCATATCATTGTCATTTGAAATTCTCAAGTTCAAGAATTTAGGTCCCAGGGACAGAGCGATAATTGCTATTGATGCCCCTTTCATAAGACCCATCCCAACTGGGAAACAGAACTTTTCTCCTGTATAAAAAACTAAGACAACTTATTCTAATGTCTTGATAAAATGATTGATATTCCATTACAATGTGGTTTAGTTCAAAAGATGTCTGTTGTATAGCATGTTACATTTAAAATTCTCTTGAATCCAATTCGTAAGTTATCACCTCTCTGAAACTTGTTCAGTGCCTGGGGTAAGTATTTTATTCCTCGTAAATAAGCAGTTAATTTATGTTGCTATGTTCAGGAAAGCAGCTGGACTTTCAATTATCTGCAATTCTATTTGCTGTGAGGATCACTTTGAATGGTAAGTAATAAATTTTAATAATTTCTTGCATGTCGTGAAATACCCCTTCTCCACAACTCTACTACAAGAGCTACCTCCACAGGCACAGGATAAATTGCTTGAGTGCGGGTGTAGAAGACAGTTCCTACATCTTAAAGAAACATTCTGCTAGTGAGAACTATGCTTTGAGTGACTTCATCTTCTGAATAGATGAGCAGCAAGGTTCCATGCATCAGAAATCATGAGCAGTACGAAAATCTGTGTGAAGATTCGGTCTGAAGCTGCTATACTACTTTTCATCATCGTCTGTGGTTGATGTTTGCTGAGCTACTGTCCGATAAATGATTCAACTTTCTAGCACCATTCTAAATTCAGACTCCAGAAGCTTTCTCGAAGCACAGCTGAAAAGAGAGAAGGATTTGCCAATGTCAATTGCAAGGCAATGGTTTCTGATGTTTGTCGTGTGCTGAGGTGCCAATGTCCATTTGGTTTGTATATTCTTGGAAATTTGGAGGTGGGAGAGGATATGAGATACTTATGATGCCATAACATTCATTTCCATGTTCTCTATGTTGTAAATATACCATAACCAGGGGCGGAACTATGTATAAATTTTACTTGTTTTTGACTTTTCGAACAATTGAGCAACATACATTACTTTTACCACAAAACTTATTACCATATGAGCAAGTTCATGCATTTAAAATTTAAAATCATCCATTATGGAGGCTATTCTTGCAAATCACTTGGATAATTCTTCAAAAAAATTTACCCAAATCTTGAAAATGAATAGTGTTTGAACTCTTTGATCTTCTCATTTGCTCCACGAACAAACTTTGAAGGTCAAAAGTCAAAAAACTTGTCAAACTTAAAATAAGGTTAAAATAGAGGTGTCAAAAACGAGTTTAACTATAGTAACCTGCCAAACTGCCCATTATTTTTAGAGCAACTTTCATATATAGCAAACATAAAAATCATATTTGTATGTTATAGTTATAGTTTGCATAATTGCGTTCCATAGCAAATTTTATGTTTGCTATAAAACTTTTGATTTGTATAATTCGCTAGATACATCCAAATTTATACAATTTGTTTAGTTTTGTATAAATTCATTTATACATTGTAATTTGTATAATAAGATCTATATTTGTTAATTATAAGTGTATATGACAAAAATATATGTATTTGTATTTGTATACACAGTTTTCTCTCACTTTATACAAACACAAACGCATTGTATATCGAAATGTATAAAATGGCTAATTGTATATCGAAAATGACTAATTGTATACCGAATCAGATGTCAAAAAAATGAGATGTTTGCTACGAATTACAAATAAAATAAACTATGGCTATAACATTTAATTTGAATTAATAATTTGTTATTTCATACAATTTTCCATTTTAATATCTTCAATTTCAAACCAACCCGCTCATTTGACATTTCTAGGTCAAAAAGTTTTAAATCACCCGCCTGGCCAGTGCTGTAAAGCGTCGGGCTCGGCCCATTATAAAACAAAGCATGAACTAGAAACCGACCCGATATCGATTTCCTGATCAACTTCAATTCATCAGAAATTAGGTCTATTAGTTTCCCCAATTCATCGTCTGTTGTTCCAGAGATCTAAAGCAATCAAGCTATGGGAGGCCATGGAGGTTTGAACATTCTCCCACAGAAGCGATGGAACGTGTACAACTTCGACAACCGTGAGAAAGTAAAGCGAGACGAGGAAGCCGCGGCTAAAGAGGAACAGCTCAAGCAGGAACAATCTCGTAAGCGCGATTCTGAGTATCGACTCGAGCAGCTCCGTCAAGCCCGTGGCTTATCATCATCAGCAGCGCCGTCGTCTTCATCGTCAAGTCACGTCAAAAAATCGTCGTCAGAACAGAAATCGCCGGAGGAGAAACCGGGAAAGAAGGATTCTAACCACATCAACTTGTTCGAAGGGATTCGAATCTTCGATCCAGTTAAAGCAAAAGATGAGGAGAAAGACGGAAGGGATAAGAAGAGAGCGAAGAAAGAGCAACCACCGAGAGTTATTACTCCGGAGGATGAGAAGTATAGGTTAGGGTATGGAATTGTTGGTAAAGGAACGAAATTGCCTTGGTATTTGGAGAAACCGAAAGAGGATTCTAGTGAAAAGAGTGACGAAGATAATGATTATTCAAGGCCTGTGAAAAAGAGTAATGGGAAAAAGACGGTGGAGGAATTGCGACAAGAGAGGTTGGAGAGGGAGAGGAAGGAAAAGGGAAGAGAAAGAGCTTTGTTAATGGAGAAGAATCGAAAAGATGGAGGATTCTCACGACGAAGATGAGGTGAGTATTGGCACTTTAAAGTGGCTAATGAGTTAGTCGGTATGCTTTGTAAAGATCATTGCTTGTTTGATTTACAATTTGTTGATGTTTTTCAATGTAACAAGCTACCAATTCTGGTGATTCGTAAAGCTTTGTAAAGATCATTGCTTGTAGTTAACATTTTCCTGAGTTTTAATGTATTTCAACTTCTTTCAAGCTGGTATGACAATTTCTCAGTAAGTGAAGTTTTGGTACTTGGGTGGTGGCTTAGGTTCAGAAGTAGGTTAATTAGAACTGACAAGTGATAAAGATTTCTCTTTGTGAGCAAATCAAAGTGCCCCAAATCTCAATTACTTGTGATCCTAACATTTTAAACAATACTACATAAAGCCTAAACCTCTCTCTTGGAAACCAAGGATGGCTCTTTGAATAATGAAGTAAAGATTTCTTCTTTACCGAGCTTCTCTAAGTTTCAGGCGGTTCAGATGGAGAGATTCTCATGGGTAGATTGCATGATTCCTTATTTTTCTGAAAGAAAAAGAAGTTAGAAGTAGTCCCTATTCTAGAAGAATTTCCGACAAGACTCTACCAAGTGAACTCTGTAGTTTTCCATCCTGTGTCTTCTGGTTTCAGAAAGCTTCATAGAGGTACAGAATCAACCCATGCTTCAGATTTCTTGTAGGATGTTAGGGGTTTTGAGTTGAATTTCATGAACTCTATTGGAGCATTACATAGGCTTTGCAGGGTTTATAGTGTGGTGACCCAGCGTAAAATAGTGGGTGAGAAGGTAAATGTCAGTCTGTTTACCAAAAATTTATGAGTCATCTTGGTACTGATTTAAATGGAATTTCTGCAAGATTGTTTTGTTCCTTGACTGCTTACACAGACTTCTTGTGAGAATACCTGTTAGTCCTGTGGCAATTAATTTGGGAGAGTAATTTCCATTTTGAGACCTCTTATAAATCTCATCAGGATTCTTTTTTTTCCTTAAAATATTTGTTCATTCAACAAGAATGCTGTCGAACATTTTGATATAGCTTAAGTTACAAGACGAGTCAAGAGTGGGACATATATTATTTTATTTTCAATAGATTTTTTGTATTTTCGAAGCACTCTTGAGGTGTATCCACACGGTGTTGTGTACTCAATTTGGAGAAAGGAGAGATTGTGTGTGGGGGAAAGGGAAAGTTCTTGAGGGTACATCTGTATATCATATGTTTTAGAAAAAGGTGGGGTGGGAGGAATTGATGCATTTCTAATTATGGATCATTTGAGCAACTGCAAAGCTTCGGTTGGTTGGTAAAATCTCTGGCTGAGTAGAGATTGTTTTCATTTGTTAAAAGCTGGAATCTTTCTTTACCTTTTTGTCTGTATTTTCCTCTAGTTTATTGTTACTTTAGATTTTGCAATACTTCGGGAGCTGGGGAATCATCAGCATGATTGCTTTTCCTTTTTGTACGTCTTCATGCAGGGCAAAGAACACAAAGAAAGTGGATCTGTGTACCTAGAATTGTTTACTGAGAGCTCTCCAGGAAAAAGCATGGCTGGATGCAGTTCCATTCTTGAATATGTCTATTTTCATTTCACAGGAACATGTGCGAAAAGTTCCATGCTCTCATTGTATCTACTTTAGTTTGTCAAGTGCATCGGAGAGTCCATATCTTACAGAGAGCAAATCGTATGCTCGAGGGAACCGTTCAGTTTGAAGGGCCTGATTGACCTGGGAGTGGATTATGGAATTCTTGCTTAGCCTGGGTTTATACTTTCTGAAAAAGAATAAGTCACAAACCAATACCCCTGGGAAGCCGATTCCAAAAATGTTTCTGAGCAGCAAAATGTTCTGCTTTCTTCCCTTGTGTACATGCCATAGAAGTTATGAAGTGAAAAGTTGAATTTCCTTCTTATAGTAGGTATTGCTCCTGTATTGTTAGCTGTAAGTTGCTGAAGATATTTGTGCTTTAGAGAATAAATTAGGACAGTCATAGGCTACAGAAGACTCTCAAAGATAATCGGCTTTTCGAAATCTTTATCCAAAAGAAGTCTTGAATTTGTTAATTTGGATCTTTGATTTGGCTGGGTTTTGTTTCTTTGCATTTTTGTATGTTCATGTCATCCGTTTCACTTGAAGATAAATTCCCTTTAAAAAATTGAAAATTTTAGGGGGGTCTTCTGTTGAATTTTTTTCGTCATTCTGTTTTATTTTTCCTTATATCTTTTTTGGGCTTTTAAGGTATTATTTCACTATGATTGGACCTTTCCAGGTTAATTTTTTCTGCATTGTAGTGGAAACGAGTTCATTAGTGTTGAATGTTGATTAATATTTCTTTCGGTGTCTTCCTTTTCTTTGGAGAATTCGTTTTAGATACCTAATAATTGGGTAACTTGCTAACTGCATCATTTTAGCACCCTGAACTTGATTTTAAGTAACGGTTATAGCATCTAAAAAAAAAAAAAGGCAGTCTGGTGTACAAAATATTCCACGTCAGTAGCATTTGGAGAAGGACCACACCCCAAGAGGTGTGATATAGACTGTCTATTCTAACACAAATATTAGTGGTTGCTTGAACCCATGATCTATAGGTCATGTGGAGATAACTTTACCATTGTTCCAAGGCTCTCTTTTAACATCTACAGATCAAAGCTTCAGAAAAAGTCTTAGAACTGTTAATGTTGGCTCTTTGGTTTTAATTCTTTTCATATTATGATACAATATGTTAACATTCAAGAAAGAGATTAAAGCCAAATAATTGAAAATACATTTTCAAGATAAAACCAAGTATTACTCTACATTTTCAAGATAAAACCAAGTATTACTCTTTCTTTTTGCTTCTCGGTAAACAAACCAATCATGTTAACCTCCATCTTTAAAATTAAGTTTAGAGATTGATATAAAGATATATTATACATTGAACTTTTCAGAGACTGATCAAGTCAATGGAGACAGTAACTTATAATAAAAAATTTATTTTCCTTGTTATATATCTCTACCCTGCTTATGTGTTGCTTCAGGGAAGGTGAGATTGAATATAAAAAGATTAGTTGACTTAACAATTGCCATACTTAATTTGCAAATTGTAGTTAAGTCCAAGTGCTTGTCTCTATTTATCATTTTAAGTTCCAACTATTCACAAATTTTGCATAGATCTCTGCTTTGCAGATATGGCTGCTTATGCTGCTGTAATTTCTCTGATAGGAACAATACATCAGTTTCCACAATCTCGCTTGGACCTTCAGGAGAGTCACAAAGAACATTTGAAATTACTCTACGAAAAGGTTAGCTCTCTGCAAGAGCTTCTTGACAATATTGATAACGAACCAACAAATGATTTGCAAGAGAAAGTCAAAGATCTAGCACATGAAGCAGAAGACCAAATTGAATCACATTTACAACAACTGATTATAGAGAAGGATGAAAATGTTCGAAGAAAGGCAAACAAGAGGCTTCTTGAGATGTTGCAACAAACTATAGAAGACGTTGAGTCTGTCAAGAAAGAGCTCATCAAGCAAATCAAGAATAACAATTTGAAACCTGGAAGTCTTTCACTTGGTGGTTCTAGCGTACCACGATCGCATGTTTCAATGTTGGAGAATGATATGGTGGGGTACAACATTGAACAGGATTTCATAAGGAGTCAACTTATGGGATACTCATCTCAACTTTGCTGGGATGGGTGGTATGGGTAAGTCAACTTTTGCCAAAAAGATGTTTTATGATCCTTCAATTCTGAGCTTCTTTGGTGTACGTGGATGGATTACTATGTCCAAGGACTACAGTTTAAGAAAGATGTTTTTATGTCTCCTTCAAGATGCTATTGGGGTGAAAGGAGAGCTTGATAAGGTAAGCGATGGAGATCTAGCAGATCGCTTGCAAAAAAGTTTAAAGAGTAGGAGGTATTTGATTGTTGTGGATGACATATGGAGCACGGAGGCATGGGATGACATTAGATTATGTTTTCCAGAAAACAATAATAGAAGTCGAATATTGTTGACTACTCGGGACATGAATGTTGCTCAATGTGCTAGCTCTCCTAAGGATCCGTTTCCAATGCGTTTCCTGGAGCCAGAAGAAAGTTGGAATTTGTTTTGCCAAAAGGCGTTTGGCAAAAAGGATTGTCCAAATGAATTTGACAACGTCGCAAAGGTAGTTGTAGAAAGTTGCAAAGGATTACCACTAATGATTTCTGTGGTTGCAGGTCTTCCTTCTAGCAAGACACTCGATGAGTGGATGAAAGTAGCTCAAAGTATGAGCTTATTAGTAAACCTTGATGATTATCAACATTGCTCAAGTGTGCTCGCTTTGAGCTATAAACATCTTCCATCTCATTTGAAAGCTTGTTTTCTGTATTTTGGAGTTTTTCCGAAAGCTAGAGAGATTTCTGTGAAGAAACTGATTAGATTATGGGTTGCAGAAGGACTCATAGAGCTAAAGGGGCTCGAGGGATTGGAAAAAGTGGCTGCTAATCTTTTACATGATCTTATTGATAAAAATCTTCTTGTTGTTAGCAGATGAAATTTGGCAGGATCAATCAAGGCATGTAGAATTCATGATCTTCTACATGATTTATGCTTGAGAGAAGCAGAAGGGGAGAGGCTTTTGTATTCCTATGTTATATATCGCAAATCCATTGGACCTGAGTTTCCTCCTGAAGGTTGTCGCTGGATGTCAGTTTGTTCAAATGGTACTTATCGTCATATTCATTTTGATGATGTTACTCATAAGAAAAACACGTTCTCTTCATTCTTCTGCCGATGAATTATGGACAGATTTATTTTTCAGCCTGGGTCATTTTAAACTTCTTCGAGTATTGGACTTGAAGGCGGTGAGATTCAGTGATTTCCCTAGTGAAATACTACACCTAGTTGGTTTAAGGTATTTGGCATTGACAGCTTGTAAGGTTCCTGAGGATCTAGCACTTGCCGATTTTTGGAATTTAGAGACTCTCATTGTTTCTCAACCCCGTCTAGCACTAAAAAGGAGTGTATCCTTACCAATTGGAATTTGGCAAGTGTATCAGTTGAGGTATCTTCGTTGTACATCCATGTTCTTATATCCTCCTCGGAACATATCAGCTAAGCACCCGATTTTAGAAAATTTGCTAAATGTTTCTGGTTTGAATCCTTCTTGTTGTACAAGGGAAATATTTGAAAGGATTAGGAATGTTAAAAAATTGGGGGTTCTTGGTGGTTCTGACGAATTTTTTGATGAGCCCGAATGGCTAGATAATCTAAAACATCTGCATGAGCTTGAGGCACTAAAAATTGCAGCTGGTGGCTATGGCTTGAAATGTTCAGGTTTCAGGCTTCCGTGTGCGGATTCTTTCCCACAAAATCTCAAAAAGTTGACACTTCGTCGCACTTTTTTACCATGGGAGGACATGACAATCATTAGCAAGTTGCCCAAACTCGAGGTGCTCCAATTGAAGTCTAGTGCCTTCTATGCTGAAGTGGGGTCAGAAGAAATGTGGGAAGTCACAGAGATAGGATATCTTGAATTGAAGTTCCTTCTCCTTGACGATTTGGACATCATGTATTGGAGAGCTGCTGATGATTATTTCCCATGCCTTGAGCGCGTAATTATCAGATATTGCCGTCATTTAGAAGAGATTCCTCAAGGATTCGCGGATAGTATGACACTACAGTTAGTTGAGTTGCATCAATGTTCTCCTACCCTTGTGAATTTTGCCGAGCAGATTCAAAAAGAGCAGGAAGATTTGGGAAACAACCTGCTTAAAGTTTATGCCTTTGATAATAGAGGTAAGTAAAATGATTTACGATCAAATTTGGTTGTCTAATCGAAGTTAGTATGTTTAAGTCTTTTCAAGTATACATATGTGAATTTGCATTGTATTGAGTTTTCAATCTCTCAATAATATTCGCTTTACAGTTACTGTAAACCCGGCCATTGTACAAAGAGATACTGATGAAGAAGCAAAAGAGGGAATTTCGGACAAGGTTGACGAAGATTCAGAGGAAGACACCAAGTGTTGTCTTCCCTGTGGGAATTTGTTCTTCTGTTTTTTCTCCTGGTAGTAAAAGCAGCTGATTTCATCATCAAAACTTCTCCAGATAACAAAAATACCTTTGGTCTAAGATTTTGTATTGTAATTTGAAGATTTTTGCACATATTGTTCGACGGGCATTATTTGCAAGTATTCTGCAAGAGAGAACTTTGGAGTAACTGGTAAAGTTGTTATCATGTGACTAGGAAGTCACCGATTCAAGTTTTTATAAGAATAAAAAACTTTAGTGCACCGGGCTGTCCCTTTTTAAATATTTTAGAAGTTCTGTTTCACATCCACATGTATTTGTTTGATATCCCTTAGACTTGAAAGCTGTACTTGTCAAGTTTGTCTATCTTCAAATTTCTTCATTTACAAAATCGTGTTTTGCTGCGTTTGATGTGTGTGTATATTAGGAGAGATAAAATTAGAAATAAGGATATCTGAGACGAGATGAAAGTGGTCCGTTGGAGGACAAATGTGTGAAACAAGACTTAGATGATTTGAGCATGTGAAGATGAGAGGTACGGATGCCCCCAATGTGAAGGTGTGAAAGGTTGACTTTGAATGGTTTTAGGAGAGGTAGAGAGGTAGACGAAGAAGTATTGGAGAAAGGTGATTAGGCCACACATGACTCAGTTTCAACTTACCAAAAATATGACTTTAGATAGGAGGTTGTGAAGAACACAAATTAGGGTAATAGGTTAGTAGGTAGTGGTGTTGCTCGAGTAGTTTTTTGTCCTTTGATTTCTACTACTAGATATTATTTCTTATACTTTGATTATGTATTATTTTGTTGTAGTCACTGTTTAGAATGCTTTGTTATGCTTTTACTTTTTATTTTTATCTTGGAATGTTTTTCCTTGAGTCAGGAGTTTAAAAACTTCTCTATCTTTGAGGTAGAGATAAGATCTACATCAAATTCAAGATTTAAATTTTATAAGTTCGAAATTCTATCACAACATATCTGATTTACTTGGTTTAAACTCTATCATTTGTACTAGTATAAAATTTGTGTGTAACCTTATGATTGTTTTTTCCTTTTGAAAATATGCTATAAAAATAAGAGTATACATATGAGCTAATTGTAACATGTGATATAACGGTTGATAAAGTGAGTTAGGAATTATAAATTTTCAAGTTTAAATTACTAACAAAAATGCTTTTCGTATGTCCAAAATTTTAACTGCACAGGTAAACTGACTCGAACATAGCAATTACCAAATAAGAAAAAAAATATGGTCTAACCGTCTAAAGTACTGGACCTAGTGGGATTAGGCTAGTAGGGGTCAACTGATCGACCTGCTCCTCATTACTCATATGGTTAGTTGGCGGCATTATTAAATTATTCCAACTATAATTAGGTATCTCGTTCTTATATATTACTCCATATGTTTCTTTATGTGATATATTTCGTATTTTGAAATTTAAATAAGAATATTTTTTATAATAATTTTTTCTTGTATCTTTTAAATATTTTAAATTGTCAATTATTGTGACTTATAGTATTTTTTTATATAGTTTACAAATATATAAATTTCATTTTAAAAAGTTTGAAGATTTCATGAAAAAAGTTTCAGTCAAACTGAAATGGTTTGATTTTCAAAAAATGAAATGTATCACATAAATTGAAACAGAAGGAGTATATTAAAAACTTCAATCATCTCTTACCAGTAGCTGTTTTACCTGCTACACAGACTAATAAATAAATTATGGTACTTCCCATACAGATAAAATAAACTACTAATACCTTTTGGCAAAGCTCTCTGATTCTTCTGAATATGAGCACCTACTATTATTTTACTACTCCGTCTCAATTTATGTAATACTAGTGGACTTCATATAAAATTTAAGAAAAAATAAACAAATTTTAGATATTTGAATTACTATAAATCATCTCATTAAGTGTAAGAAAAATAATTTAAAGTTAATGTATTTTTAATTATAAAAAGGTAACATTTTTTTCGAAACAGATTAAAAAAAGGAAGAGTGCGACATATATTAAGATAAAGTATTTAAATAAAAGTATGTGATGGGAACATGAAAACCACCTTGAAGGTACAAGTTCGTTATTGATGGCCATAACATGCCAAACTCTTACCCAACTATTCTTCATGACTCTAATTTTGAATACATTTATCTTAGGGTCTGTTTGGTACCAAAGGAATACATTTTTTTTGAAAAAAAAAAATGTTTTGCTATTATCTCATATGTTTGATTAATTAAAATGTTTTCAAAAATAAAAAAAAGCGACTTTCTTAGAAAGAGTAGGAAAGATAAATTTTACAAGTCACAATTCCACGTTATTGGTCTCCTCCATACCCACAACACACCCCCACTCATACACACACAGGTTGAGTCAGGATTAGGAGTTTGGGGTTCTACTAAGCCATCAAATCATTTTATTAAGGGGTTTACAACTTAGTATACATATATATTTATTTAATTTTCTAATACAAATACAAGAAACCCCCACTTAGCTCCGCCTCTCTGCACTAATTCTCGTAAATTATATATAAATATTTTTGGAATAATATTTTCTGTTTACTTATCAAATACGTAAGAAATTAAAAATCGCTAATTTTGCAGAGAAACGTTTTCCAAACACATCCTAACAATCTATGTAATCTGGCACATAATGACATAAAGCCAGGATTATAATAATAAATATTCTAGTTTGTTCCTATACGTTAAATGTATTAGAGTATAAATGTTGAAAAGTATTAAATATATAATTAGGATAGATAAGTTTTAGTAGGATGTATTAATATATATGTTGACCAGGCTTTAGAATACAATAATTAGTCCATTAGGCCAACAATTCTCTTCCTCTTAATCAGAGGAAAAATCTCATAGCAATAGAATGGAGAAATCAAAATGTCAAAAACAAACTTTGTTAAGTGTTGCTAATCTCAAGCTTCCATCAGTAAGTTCTTAATTAATTATAACTTTTTTCTTTCATCATCTTAATTTGTGTTTTAGCAAAGGAAAAAATATAATTATGTATTTAGTTTTCTAATGAAGGTTAGTGGATATTAGTTTCAGGTGGTGGTGGTGAATGCAGATTTGGGATGCACACATTGCAGGAGCAGAATATCTCAAATCATGTCAAGGATAACAGGTAAAAAAAACTTAGGGTTATTATATGTTTGTGAATTTTTATTTCATTTTTATAATCGTGATTTCCAGAGTCAGCTCGTTATTTTTATGTTAACATATAAAAGTAAAAGTAGGGAAGTTCAGAAATTTTGTATGAGGTGTTAGTATTTTTTTTTTGCCTCAGCGAGAAATGAATGGCTCTTAATCCATTTCATTGACAACTTGATCATATTCTTGCTTGCATAAATCACTAATTACATAGGGTACCTACGCCTCCCACGGTTACATATATCGACAAATGGAAAAAATCATACTTGCTCTGTTCTTCTCTGTTCTAATGTACGTGATGAAGTTCGAAGAATTTAAGAAAGAAAAGAAAGCTTTTGAAATTTGTACTTTAAAATAAGTTGTATATGTTTGTGTAGGTATAAATCATTTCATCAAGAATAAAATGAATATTTTAAACTTAAATTATTATTAAATATAAAAATATTTCATTCTTTTTAGTTTTTAGGATGGACTAAAAAAGAGAGTGGACCATATAAATTGAGACATAAGGAGTACTATTTTTGTTTCCGCTGTAATTTGACATGAAATTTTATGATTCTCAACTCCTGAAGCGGGAATTTTAAGTTAAATTTGCCTATTTCTACTAATTAGGTGTTTTACTCTTAGCTACCTTTATGCACTTGTATAGAGTTTTTATACATGCTCATAAAGTTCTGAAATTTAAATTATTGTGACTAATATTGACAGGGATGAGGGAGTATACAATAGATGTTGGGAAAAAGCAAGTGATTGTAAGAGGAGATGTTAGAAATCATCACCAGGAAAAAAATGGTGCAGTAAAGAACCACAAGATCAATGAACACCATAGCCGAATTTTCACCTTCTTCTTTAGTTTACTGAACTTCCGTTGGAGCACAACCATGAAGATGGTTGATTAATCGAAAGAACAAAGAGTTTGATTGATGAACATTCATTCATGGGGTTGACATGTATGAATTTATCATGCTAACAAAGGAGTCAAATACATATTCTTTCAAATGTTTATTTGTTGGGAATGTTGTGTTTCCATTTGATTACTTTTGAGTTTCTCCTTTTGTTCCTTGTATAAAGTTTCTAGTTTCTTTATACTGTACCAGATAAGAAAAACATAAATCAATTCAATAGTGAACTTAAACAACCTGCTAGTTGAGGATCTTTTGGAAACAACAACCTCTCTTCCTTTTTAACGAAGAGGTAAGGTCATATCAATTTATGTGATAGTGTTTCACTAGGCACAAAGTTTCAGAATGAAAGAAAGACTGTTGAAACGTGTGATTTAGAACAAACCATAGATATTTGTGTGGCTACAAGTCATTTCATTTGTGTAGCTAAAACGAACCTTCAAACTCTCCAAATAGTAAACATGTCAAACTAAGTGGAATGGAGTACCAAAGATTCAAGAGACGCACAACAAGAAATATCATTTTTCTCAAACAATATTTGCAAGCATTCTGATCCATATTAATTGAGTAATTTCAACAACCATCATATAGTATAGACCATTGAACAAGCATTTCCCAAAATAGTACAAAGTTTTCATACTACAAAGGATATATCAACAAGATGAACAAAAAGAGAACATTAAGACATTCAATCTTGTCCCATCTCACCTTTAATTACCATTCTAAGAATACCATTTTTCATTTGTGCTTCAACCTTCTCAGCTTTACAGCAATCAGTACTAAACTCGAGACTCCCTCCGTATTTCCTCCCTGATTCCTCAGATTCCACTTCTATTTCTCCTTTGCCAGTGAAGTAAACCGTGTTGTTCTCTAACCAGACCTTAATCCCATCTTCACCAACGCCAGGCATTGCCACTCTCACAAGTATACCATCCTTCAGTGTATCCACTTCTAGCACCTCTTTTGGTCCTACTGACTGAAACGGGTTCTCCATCTTGAATTCTTGTGGAGCACCCGTCACCAGAACTGCAAATAAACACAGGGAAATGAATAACAGAGCGTCGACCTTCAATGGAAGTAAACAAAACCAACCATTAGAGCTCAATCTCAAACTAGTTACGACTGGCCATATTAATCATTTAATTCTTTTTGGATAACACTGACGTATGAGCTAATTTCGTAAACCTCAACTTTACCACCAGATAACGCTACCTCCCCCAACATAGACACATCAAGTAACTCGGCTCACCAAGGCATAGGCACGTGAGAAGAAATTAATTATTGTGCTTTTGTTTCTTGCTGAGATTTGAACCTAGACTCCAAGGTTTGCATTCATGTCATTGACCACTATGCTACTACGCTACACCTTTGGGTGCTCCAGCCATATATATAAATCAAGTATAGATTTTTTTTCCCCCAATAATGATGATGTTTTGCCAGCTTGCGCGCACATGGACTATTCCACTAGATACATGTTACCTCCCACCCGCACAAATACATAGTTACCAAGTGACTCTACTCACAAAAATTGAGCAAAGTTTCGGCAAATGGAAAGAAACCTATAGTTCCATTTTTGGTTTGTTTCATACTCCTACTCAATTTCTTTTAGGATAAATAAATTAGCAATATTCTCTAACACACCAATTTCAATACTTTAATCAAATCTCTAACTAAACCAAAAATACTCTGAACACAACATAAATGGAGTTGATTTCTCAAATGATCACTTAGTCGCTTTCTTTTTCTTAGACTCCAATTTTCTTCAACAAAAATACAACTTTATGAGATAATAACTATTAATTGAATAACCATATGCGAAATACAGCCAACTTAAATGTGTTGATAATCGGCTCGACATAAAATATACATTCTACCTAATGTAAATGAACAAATATCACATAACATAAAGTGTAAATAAGAAAAAGAGGTAAACGGATGAATCAATTACTTGGCTCAGTAGAGTTTTTCTGCTCATTGCTCAAGGAATTTGAATCTGAAGTTGTAATGGAGGAAAAAAAGCGTGTGATTGAAGGAGCGGCAGTAGTAATTTGGGATTTGGAGTTGAGTAATTTGAACAGTGTCGAAGCTCCGGCGGCTTTTCTGATACTTAGAGCCATTGACATTTTTTCCGATCGATCTGTGATTATCTCGATCAAGGGTTTTAGAGTGGTTTATGGAAATGGTACCTTCCTGTTTGCTATCTTGGGCCTAATTTTGGACCATTAGGCCCATGTTAACTACATGGGTTGAGACATATAGGCCCATAGTCAAACAAACCAACACTTAAAAGGGAAAATTACACGTATAAGCAAACATATACTAGTTAATTAGTTGATTTAGTTTTGTATAATTTGCACGTTTGTATAATTCGGAATTTGTATAATAAAATTTATAAATTTTTTGTATAATTTGGAATTTGTATAATATAATTTGTATAACTTTTGTATAATTCAAAATTTGTATAATATATATAATTTGAATAACTGATTACACTTCTGATGTTTGTAATTGCATAAATTCGTTATTTTGAGTTTATACAAAAATAACTAAATAAAAATATACCCATGAATTAAACAAACCTGTGAATTATACCAATGAGACAGCTTAAACTGTAGCTACAACCCGTAAATATGTAAACTATAGCTATATAGCATAATTAAGTTTATTATAGTGGCTATTTGCGAAAGTTTCCCCTTAATTAAAACTCATCTCTCCCCCCTCTCCCACCCCAAGAAAACAGAGAAAAAAAAATCATAATATTAGTTTTTAAAAAATAGTCGTGGAAAGAAAAGAGAGACCCCAATGTGAGAATTGAGTGAAAATTGATTGTAGAATTAAAAATAGCTAATTAAGACCTTAAATAAATAATATTTTTTTTAAAAAAAAAAACACCATGATTCAACTTGATGTTAAATTTTAAGAAATTAAAAATAAAAATAGTCTTTATTCTTAGCCCTAATGTTAAAGATCATTGTGCAAACTACTGATCAATTGTTAAAAAAAAAAACTGATAAACTTTTCAGATGAGGAGTTCTGGCTATTTTAAGCCAATGGTTGATTTTAATTAACATTTTAAAATGAAGCGAGTTTGTGTGCATTTCCACTTATTTTAAACTTTCTATAAGACTACATTCAACAAAGAAATTTAAACAATTAATTGTTGAGCCACAATTTGGCTATAATCGTGATGAAAGTCGGACGTTTCATCTAAATAAATCACACAAAATGTAAGAAAATGGCCAATAAATCTCTTTGAATATTAATATTCACCATGTAAGGTTATAATTAATATTGTATATTAATCATTGAAACTACTATCCATCGACTAGAATATTCAACAAAGAAAATCAAATAATTATTGAGCCATGATTTGATTATAATCTTGGCAACAAATAGGACATGTCATCTATCAATTCAGTATACGCTGTTAAATTAATTTTGGGAATAAGGAGAAAAATGCACGTAAAATTATGAATAACCAAGAAATAAGAAATTTTGGTTGAGGAGTGAAATACATTGTGAATATTTTACTAATATATTTATTTAAATTAGCTCGTCTGTTTCATACGTGCATCATGTACGTCATACATTCACTTCATATCATACATTTTCAATTATTGATTTCCTATTTAATTAATTGTGTAATTGTGTTGAGATTAAATATCAGTACTTAAGCAAAAGATTCATATTGTGCACACTTAAAAGTATAAACTCCTTTGCGTAACATGAACTACTTGTTGGGTATGATATTGTGAACATGAATTTAGGGGCATAAAATTTTAAATCTTGATTCACTTGAACAATTTTGGAAGTCCACTCAAAGGGATTTTAAATTCTTCTAGCTACACATTAATTGTTATCTAGCTTTTCGTTATTAATACAGCACAACAATTTACTATTAATATACTTCCAGACTAGTGTCTAGGGCACACCTCGATTAGTTCCACAGATTATCTGCTACCTCACACGTTCAAAGATAATGGATAACTCTGTCCACTAAGAATTGAACAAATGAGTAGCTACACTTCTTATCGATCCATTTAAAGGAAAATAAAGCTAATATTTGCCAGCTTCTGTTATTCCCTATCCTCTCACCCTGTTGTACAACATAGTTCATGTATCACCATCACTATTGTTGCTCTTGTAACATACCAATGTGTGTTCAAAAACTGCTCAAATACTCCATAATGTTGCTGCACTCTTGTCGGATCCTAAAAAATTAATTATTTTTGAAGAGTCCGAGCAACATAGATTAGATCTTACAAGGTGCAAGTTCAGACCTTCTGATAATAAATTCAAAAGTAACTCCTAGTTGTGTGCTTTGCAATCATAAGAATTAAGAAAACCAGACATGGTACTACATGTCCATGTTGATAGTAATTGAACCAAATAAACACTTATTTTACTAGTAAAGTCTGTTGAGATTTCATTAGACAAATCACTAAAAACTTCAAGAAGCTTAAAAAAACTTGTTCATTACTGCTTAAATATCACCGACAAGATTCCCAGAAAACATGTTTATATAAGAGAATGAGTTGATTTTCACGATGTTAATGATATGGAATAAACGTTCTAATTTCAGCAAAGACAGTGCATTTGATTTGTAGTAAACTAGTAATTATACCAGAAGTACACAATCAAGCTCAATAACACATCAAAATTTCCAAAAGAAACCAATGTTCTTTTTTTTAGTACTCATATCATAACACATCATGCCTAAACAGAACTAACCAATGCTACCTTAAATATAGGGATGTGAGAACCAATTTGAGTAATCAATCACTTATGTTTTTAATCTGCCTCAAGCAAGCCACCCCAACCCCTACTACCAAAAAGTCGTCCATATAGTGCAGGAGTGCTCATTATTTTTCGCTTACTCCATTTCGAATCCTGACGTTCATAGGAGCAGAACAAGTCTTTGCTCATAAGATTTCAGCCTACCAACGGTATGGAGCTTAAATGTCACGCACACATACTCTCTTCACGGTTAATATACTAAAATAAGACAAATAAAAACCCCGTGCTACCCTCAAATACTCAAAAATGCCAGATGAGAAAATTTTCCAAAACGACATAATTATCAAATAGCAATCTATTCACCTAATGAGATCAATGAAATGATATTCCAAAGCAAACTTACTTAACTTTTCTCTCATAAGAACCAGTCACCTCCTGAGGAGTCTTAGACTTGGGGATTAGCATCCTAAGAACACCATTCTTCATATTTGCTTCCATAAACTGAGCCTGATACGAATTCGAACGGATTTCAATGTTAGCACTGTAGGTTCTTCCGCTTTCCTCATGCGTAGACTCCTTCTTTCCTTCACCCTTTATGATGATAGTCCCATACGAAATCAACACCTTCACGTCTTCTTTATTAATTCCCGGCATTTCCATTCTCACGTACATCCCCTCATCTATATTCTTCGCCTCGTATGCCCCACAAGGTCCAGAAATTTGAAACGGATTTAACATGTATACATCACATACACCTTGACATAGAGTATGAAAAAAACCCAAAAATTATCAGACATTTCAAAAATTGTTCCAGACATAAAATAAATGAATAAAATCAGCTATCTCTAACATACATATGGTAAGCAATTTAACATCAGCTCTTAAATTTGAGTCCTAGTTAACAATATTTTCAGGTACTTAGCAATGTTATATCAAAGGCAAAAGGCTCAAAAAACAACTCTAAGGCCTGTTAGGTCTCTAAGCGCAAAGAACAAATAAAGGGCTCTAATGAAGAAAAAATACAAATATACATGTGTAATCCAACTCAAATAATTATATGCACAAAAAAATTGAAACAAAACTTCGACAAAGTGAAATATCAATTGTATTACCCTAATTAGTAAGAAAAAGTATGTCTTAGAGCCTAGATGGATGAAGCGTGATCAATATGTTTTTGAGTCTAGCTTCAGGATAAAGTGTCATAAGTGATCATGGGTCAACTTGTGAGATTACACTAGATATGTTGTTGTTGAAGAAGTGATCACGGAATAAAACAAAAAGGATATTCAAAATTCTGCCACACGAAATTGGGCTAAAGAGAAAGAAAAAAACAACGATACCGCGTTGAATAGGGAACTGCTCAGATCGAACAAAGGAACCTCCACAGGCATTGATGATGAAGCTTTCTTCATTGGAATCCGTAACAGAAACACTACCTGCGTAGCTTAAGAAACGAGAAGTTAACGGTGCAAGCGAACCAGTAAGTCCTCGTGAAGAAGGCGCATTGTTGAGTAAGTTGGAGAAAAGAACTGATGAAGAGCTCATTCTCCGTAAAGCAGTACGAAACGCCATTGTTGTAGCAGAAGAGAGTTGTTGCAATAATCTTCTCGCCCAAGCAGAAAACAGAGTTTTGTATAGAGATATGTCTTGACCTTCAAGCCAGCTCCCCCAATATTTACGCTAAAAATGTGACTGACTGGACAGGGTAAAATAGACTTTATTCATATTTTTAAAAATATAGCCTTTATAATAAGGGATTTTAACTACACTAGGTATGTAATTGGGATTTTAACTACTTTAGGTATGTATGAAAGAATTAAATTAAAAATAAATATTTAAAGTATCTTTTCAATACTCTCTGAAAACCCTACTCTGCCGCCGCCGTCGTTTTCGTCTTGAGCCTTGCAATGTAGATCTTTCTTTCTGTTCATCTCACCAGCCAAGATTCTAGCATTTCCAGATCCAATAAGGGGATATTTTCATTTCCATAGAGAAACCCAGTATACCAAGATGACACAAAAGAGGATGAAGTTGGTGAGGGGAACATTAGCAAATCGAGAAGCTCCAAGGATGACACCAAAGGCAGGGATGATGAAGAAGAAGGTATCCAATGCAAATACCACAAAAGGGAATCGGATTAGCGATGTCAAAAAGTTCAATCTTTCCAGATGCCAACAAAAGAAAAAGAAGAAATCAATTCATACTTGCCGCATTGTGGAGATGGATAATTCTCAGGGATCAATTATTTCCCAACAAGACTTACTAAGGCAGATCCTCAGTTGTTTGCCCGTGCAATCTCTTTTACGATTCAAATGGGTTGCAAAATCTTGGGATATAACATCCGATCCTTACTTTAGATTGAAGCATAATGTCAATTCCCTTAGATTTCTTCTTGCCCATACCAACTTCCGTCGCCCTCAGAATGTTCATAACTTATATTCTACTTCTTCTTTATCCTCCCCTGACGACCTACAAAATATTGATTATCTCACTTCAGACGATACACGTTTTCACATACTATGTGGTTCTTGTGATGGATTGGTTCTCATCCGACTTCCTAATAGACCCAATCATGAACTTCTCTTGTTGTGGAACCCCTCAACAAGAGAATCAGTACATATTCCCTTTCCGATATTTGGATTAAAAAATTCTACTTTTGGATTTGGATATGACCCAACTACTCATGACTATAAGATACTTGCAATTCACAAAATCAAATCACAACCACAATGTGGAATTCTCGCACTAAAAAGTGGTTCTTGGAGAAATGTTTATATTGAGTCACCTATCTTATTTACAACTCGGGAGGATCCGTTCGGTTTTGAGAATCCTTTGTCATTTGTACATGGAGCATTTCATTGGGTTACTTGGCGTCTTTGTGTGGGTTCATTCAATATTTCAAATGAGGTATATACAATTATACCATTCTCAGAGCAAATGTCCTCTTATCTTTCCCATATTGTCTCCGGGGACTATCATGTTTCAATATTAGATGGAATGGCTTGCTTTTCTTCTGCTTGTAAGGTTGATGGGGAGTATGCTTTTACATTGTGGGAAATGAAAGAATATGGTGTCAAAGAATCTTGGACTCAATTATTTAAAATAAAAATTGCCGCTATTTCTATAGTCAAACCTGTTTATAGGTTTGCAGATGGTGATGTACTATTTCAGTACCGCGATGTAATACGTGATTCATTCAAGACATCCAAAGGAAGATTTCGGTTATGGTGTGATTCATTCGTTAAACGTGGTGACATGATTAATATAGTCACTTTCAACGAGAGTTTGATCGATCCAAAGACACTTATTTAATATTTGGTTAGGTATGATTGAGTCGTTTTTATGTTCATCACATGTAACAACTCTTAAATTTTGTTTTTTTTTTGTCATTTCTGAATTGATCTTTTTGAATGCACCTGGAAAAAAAAAAGTATCTTTTCAATTTTACCTGAAGGCTAAATATTATAAAATTTAAAATTTAGAACCCAAAATTAGAAGTGTTGCATGCGAGGATAGCACCAATTCTTCCTAATATCCTATCACAAAATCAGTCGGGATTTATGAAAGGAAGAAGTACTGCAAAAAATGCTCTTTTAGCTCAAGAGATTATCAGAGATATTAATAGAAGAAATGAATTTCATAATGTGGTGGTGAAATTAGATATGACAAAAGCATACGATAGGGTGTCATGGATTTTCCTTACAAAAGTTATGAGGAACTTTGGATTTGATGAAAGAATTATTGATATGGTATGGAGATTAATATCAGATAATAGGTATTCAATGTTGGTCAACGGGCAGGCCTTCCTTTGGATTCTTTGAATCATCGAGAGGATTGAAGCAAAGTGATCCCCTATCTCCCACAGTGTTCGTCATGCGGAGGTGCTAGCGAGAAGTCTTAACAGACTGAATAATGATGTGAATTTTAGAAAATTTGGCATGCCTAAATGGAGCAAAGAGATTAATTACCTATTATATGCAGATGACACATTCTTATTTTGTTCGGGGCATGAGAGGTCGATGAGGAAAGTGATGAAAGTGTTGAAGAGATATGAATATGTATCGGGGCAACTCATTAATCTCACAAAGAGTTAGGTATATTTGCATGAGAATGTGCTGATTGCTGTTTGTCACAAGATTAGGAGAATTACTGGTATTTCTCAAGGAGCTTTTCCATTTACATATCTTGGATGTCCTATATTCTATGGGAGGAGAAGGATAGCACACTATGAAGATCTCATAAAAAAAGTGACAAAACGTGTGATGCAGGGTCGTCTCAACGAGTTTGGGGGCCTAAAGCCAAACTTCATAAAGAGGCCTTTATAACATACGCAGTTTAATCCTATACATGAGGTTGGAGAGGTTGGATGTACGCGAAAATTATGAACTAAGAATGTAAACAATGTAAGCTTCAAACAAAAAATATATAATATAAGGTTACAATAATAAAACCTGACTCAAATTTTGAAAAATTTATATAATTATATCAAAATAGTGTTGTGTTGAATTTGATAGGTTGATATAATGATATTAATACAGTATTGATTAGTTTTAGTGCTTGAAATTTGAAGAAGACACCAAAAAATAAATTTGATTTGTTTATGAACATACAACAATAGATTTTGCATAATGTAGAAGGTTTGACTGTTTGAGAGGCTTTAAAATATTCAATTATGAGAGAATAAAAATAGTGAAAGGAGAATAAGAAAAGTAAATATAAGAATGTTGGTTCATGATAATTGCCAGAATATAAATGAGGCAACAATATAGATAGTCACATAGAAATGATGCTACGATTAACTCACACTATTCCATTTCTCAATTATTGATCCCTATATTATATGAGGTAGAAAATTATTATATGTTTTATCAAAAAAATTCTTCTCAAATTCATCAATACATAAGATTTTTTTAACTATATATATTTGGCAGAAAGTGGGGGCCCCAAAAAAGTCGGGGCCCCAAGCGATTGCTTTAGTAGCCTTATGATCGAGACGGCCTTGGTGTGATGGGATGGCAGAATACATTGCTAACATATGGAGGGAGGTATGTTTTAATAGCTCATGTTCTACAATCAATGCCTATTTATTTATTATCAGCAATGAATCCCCCTAAAGGGTTAGTGAATTAGATTCACAAGATATTAGCTACATTCTTTTGGGGACATATAAGAGGAGTTAAAGGGAAACATTGGGTTGTATGGGATTTATTATGCTTGCCTAAGGATGAGGGTGGTTTGGGATTTAGATCGCTCCATGATGTTTCAGATGCTTTGTTTGCTAAACTCTGGTGGGTATTCAGAACTGCCACCAATTCCCTATGGAGTGAATTCATATGGAATAAATACTGTAAAAAATGGCATCCTATTATGGCTCAGGGAATTGGAGCCTCACTTGTGTGGAAAAAAAAATGATTAAAATCAGGGAAGATGTAGAACATAATATATGGTGGCATATCAAATCGGGAGATGCGAGCTTCTGGTATGATAACTGGACAAAGCAAGAGGCATTGTATTATGTTGAAGAGGACAGAAGAAGGGAAGAGGAGATGGAAGTCAGAAGTTTCATAGTTAGAAATCAGTGGGACAAGGACAAACTATTAAACTATGTATCGGAGGAAATGACTGAGCATATTATGACCACGATATCGCCGAAAATCAGTAGTGGAGATTAGGACAAACCATGGTGGATGAGCAATGCAAATGGGTTTTTTTCTGTAAAATCGGTATGGGAAGTTATGAGGAAGAAAAGAGAGAGGGAAGAAAAATATGCTCTAATATGGATGAAAAGGCTGCCTTTTAAGATCATTTTTTTCCTATGGAGATCATGGAAAGGGAGGATTGCCACTGATGATAATTTGAGGAGGATGAGAATTAATATTGTATCCCGATGTTAGTGCTGTGAAACACAACAAATAGAAACAATGTCCCACTTATTCCTAACCGCCTACATAGCCTAAAAGCTGTGGAGGTACTTTGCTTCTTGTGTAGGTCTGGACATAGAAGAAAAAAATCTAATACAGACAACCAAGTGTTGGTGGTACGCTGAAATTTATAACTTAATTTTACTTAAAAGTTTATTTTTAAAATATTAAGTTTAAGTTTAATAAAAAAAATTAGTTTTAAAGTTTTTGAACTTAAGTTTTCAAGATTTTGAAGTTTGTAAGTTATTACTTATTAATATGTTATAAGTTATACTTATAACTTGTAATTTAAATAAGTTAAGTTTGTAATTTTAAAAAATTAAATAAAAATAAGGATAAAACAATTACACAAATTAAAAAAATATCAATCCAATCCAATATTTTTTTTTAAAAAAAAAATATGCCTACATATAAATTATAAATATAAATTAATTAATAAAAAATAATTAACCAAATTACCGGAACCGGAATATATTGGAATCAACCGATAATTCCGGGATGAAATTGTGATTCGGGTCGTGTCCCATTCCGTTCCGTAGACTAGGGGACCAAAACGGACTAAAATGGTTCCGTCTCAAGTACTAATTCACGGTGTCCCATTCCGTTCCATAGACTACCGGACTGGAAAGGACCAAAATGGTACCGGACTGGGTCCGGTGCC